GCCACCACACTCACCCCAAGGAGAGCATCTTAGCATCTTATTCTTTTGTTCAGGATATGGTCTGTGGGGAGTGGATGCAGTTCTGAGCAAACCTGTATTGTTGAGATGAGCAGAACCATGTCTAGGACCCTAACCCCTCAGACCCAGAGAATGGCAAAGCCTTCCTCTGTTCTAAGAACAGATGTTACCAACAATTGACTTTTGCTGACAACAGTTTCTTCCCTCCAGATGACGACAACCTGAAGCTGCTGCTTACAGACACCTGCTACCAAGATTACCTAGCCTCATTTGGCTGGATCCAATGAACCCACCCTGCAATTTGAATTTATAAAATAAATGTGCCAATCTGCACACTACCTGCCCAAGCCCAGCTTTTCTGTCTGTGTGTCTGTCCTGTCTTCATTTTCCCTTCACCTAGTCAGGACAACCCTAAAACCATGTAGTAGAGAGAGAATCTTGTATGCACCTGTCAATAAAAAAAAAAAAAGACCTATGTCCAGTGAGCTGAGGCAGGAAAAGGGAGGTGGGAGTTCCTGCAGAGAGAGAGAGAGAGAGAGAGAGAGAGAGAGATTGATTGATTCTGGGAAATAGGCTTGGGGGGGTGTGACGTATTTGTCCTGGACTCTGAGAAAGAGACAGGCACCTGAAACCGAGAAGAACATACCCAGCCATGTGACATGCTTAGAATAGAGCGGATTATTGAAATAAGAGCTAGTCAGGGAACAGAGCCAAGGTTATTGGCCTAGGTATTTATTAATATAAAAGAAGCCTCAAAGTTGCTATTTTGAGAACAAAGAGGTCGGGTGGAAAACCCTAAGGCTATGGAAAACCCACAGCCACCCTGACTAGGGTGCACCAAACAGAACTGTGGGGTATTTCCAACCTTATTGCAGTAAATCTCCAACCGCAATAAGCCTGTGCAAAAACCACACAACTCAGTTATTATATTTATAAGCTGTATGCCTAGATTGGGCAGATCTACCACTACACTCATCTGTTCCCCAGCTATGAGATCCCTTGCTACTTGCTGCTTCTCCAGGCCACGTGATTCTTCCTCCATCCTTCTTGCTCTACTCTCTAAAACCTCCAGCTCCACCTTTCCCATCCACTGCCCAAACACAGGCTCCAGCCTTTATTTCACCAGAATGTGGAGAAGGTTCACATGAAATCACCTTGAGTACACGCAATCCACTCTTCCTTGGGGCAGCCCCTCTTGAGGAAGCAGAATTAACATCGTAATACAAACAACAATACCTGGGCAACTCACAACACAACCTGGCCACTTTGTTCTCCAAAATAACAACTCTGAGGCTTAATATTACACGAAGCCCAGGCCATCAGCTTTAGCGTGTTCTCAGACTAGCTCATCACTTCTCTAACCTACCTAAACTATTCTCGCACGTGGTTAATTCCCACTCCTTAGGTTTGTGCATCTTATTTCCTCCCCCCGATTGTGGCAAATCTCCCACATCTAACTCTTCCCAGAATTCCTCTCTCTCTCTTCCTGCCAAACCCTCACCTCTTATTTCCTACCTCAGCTCACTGAACATAGGCTTCTTAATTGACAAGTGGGTGCTTTTACACACCACACAAGAAATTCTCTCTACAATCCAGGTTATAGAAGGGGTGTACTGACAACTTGAAGCTGGTGGAAGGTCTTCAGCAGCTAAGTACGTTGTTAGAAGATGAGTGTACAAGCACATTACATGCAGATGAGAGATCCTAGGCTGCCACCGTGTGTGTATAGCCCAAGCCAGGCGGAGTCCCAGGCTGCTAAGCTATTCCCTGTGTTTGTCTGCCTCCCTTTGACTGAGGCAAAACTAAATCTTTGACTTTGAAGCAGAAAATATTTCACAGCAAGCCAGTATGAAGCAGAACTGGTACTTATTAAAAAAGACATTTTAAATATAGATTTTTAAGCTCAAAGATGGAGAGAAGGAACAAGGATTAGAGAGAGAGAATGGGGTGAACTTCTCTGAGAGTCTCATTATTTTTTAAGAGTTCTATACAGGCCTGACATGATAGGGCTTGGAGCTATTGTCCTCAAGGAGGTTCCTAAGGAACCTAAGTAAGATTTTGGGTGGTCCCTGAGGGCCCCTGATAAGATTATGATTGATATGGTAAAACTCTAGGTCAGAGATAAGCAGAAAAGTAGGCTACCTTTACTGTAAATGAATTGAATTGACTTCAGAGACTCTACCCAATCAAAAACAAACATACAAAAACCAGGAAAATGAATGAAACCCTTCCTTAGGTGATGTAAACCCAGGCCTTCAGCCTGATTTATTGCTAATTTAACACATGACATCATACATGAAGGGAATATTAAATCTTTGTGTCTTAGTTAGGGCTTTACTGCTGTGAACAGACACCATGACCAAAGCAATTCTTATAAGGACAACATTTAATTGGGGCTGGCTTACAGGTCAGAGGTTCAGTCCATTCTTAATCCAAGAAGGAGCATGGCAGCATCCAAGCAGACATGGGGCTGGAGGAGTTGAGAGTTCTACCTCCTGTTCCAAAGGCAGCTAGCAGAAGACTGACTTCCATTCAGCTAGGATGAGGGTCTCAAAGCCCATGCACACAGTGACACACCTACTCAAACAGGACCACACCTTCTCATGGTGCCACTGTAAGATTCTGACAAGACTTAGCTTACCGGGGACCTCCTAAGTGAACAACGCTGAGCCGGGGATTGATGCAAAAGCAAGAGGAATTTTATTGTTCCTGCATGCTGAGGTCATCCTGCAGCTTGTTCAGTGAGACTTTATATGGTTTTTAGGGAAACAGCAGCTAGGCACAATATGATTGGCAGAACAGTGTGACTTTTAAACCGGTTGGTCTTTAGGGAATGAGGTGACAAGGACTTCCCTTGTCTGTGGAATGTGTCCAAGTGCTCTGGTCCTTCCCCACCTGCAGGTCAGTCCCTAACCCCTGTGGTCTGAGGAATGTTAATTAGCCTCTCCCTTCCGGAGGGAAGGGGTGCCTAAGTGTTCTATGGCCTTTCTCTTCTAGGAGGGGTTTTCCAAAGTTCCTGAGCTGACCTCTTCACCATCCCCTGGGCCGAGTGTATACAAACCTTCACACTGTCACCAGCAATCACAGGAAATGTGTGTGGTACTGGGTTCCCCTTCTCACTACCAAGTGGCTTCAGTCAGACTCCAAGGGGCTCCTCTCCCTTCTAATACCCTCATAATTTCCCATGCCTTTGTGTCCTGTCTTAAGAAAACATGGGATCCAGCAACGGGAGAGGCCCTCATAGAGGGAGCAAGGCGCCACGTGGTCCATCTGAGTTCTCCAATCCAGACTTACAGAAGAAGTGCTGGCTGGATGTGCCCAGTAAGAGAACAATGTCAGAACCACCCAGGGAAGCAACTGAGGGAACGTCTGACATTCCCATCCTATCTGGGAGTGAGGGGACAAGTCAGTATAACTATGTTCAGTGTGAGAACTTGTCACTATTGCAGAGAACATGGGTTCAGTTCCCAGCACCCACACGCGGCTAGCACACATCCATAACTCCAATTCCAGGGAACCCAGAGCCATTGTATGACCTCCGGGAACTTCAGGCACACACGTGGTGCAGACACGTATGCAGGCAAAACATACTTACAGTAAAGTAAATTTTAAATAAAATTAAAACAAAGCAAGGCCATGAGTCTTTTGGAGTGTTAGCTTTGGAGCAGTACATCTGACTGACACCAACCCCAAAGCCCGACAGAAGCAGGAACTGGCTGCCCCTGAGTACACTGAAGGACAGAGAGAAATCACTGTCCTTGCTTAGAATTAACAACAGTGATGACCTGGCAGGTTCCTTGTGTCACAGCGCACGGTGGTTTTTAATGGCTGGCTGTGATTATATTAATTTCCTTTCCAATGGATTTCCTGCCAGTCACACATCTGCCAGTCCCCTTCCAAGCATCGGGAGAAGTAATGGTGAAGACGCACGAGGCTGAGGAGGAGGGAACACCAACCAGGAAGGTGAGCGGAGGGCACCAGCATGCTGAAGCAGCAAGGAGCTTGGCTCCCTGCCCAAAGCCTAATCTACCAGCAGCCTGATCCGTCCATCTGTAATACTTAGTGGGGTTTTTCTGAAGACGGAGGAGCCTACGCAGCTCTGCAGTGCAGACAGGGTCTTGACACGCTTGTCTCCTTTACTGCACCGGAGAGAGGAGCGGGCTTGGAGAGAGCTGGTCAGGGAGAGCAGAGGATGTGAAGGACTTCCAGGATGTGAGGAGAACCCTAGAGCAGTTTACTCTCCAGCCTCCGGGGTTTCACCCTTAAGATGTCAAATCAGAGATGGTTCATTTTCTGAGTCCTGCCACCAGAATTCTCAGTCCAGGATGTCAGGCGGGACCAGAGGCTGAGGCCAAAGGTTTCGTGTGTATTTGAAGCCAACTATAATATGTATCATCATCATTATCATTATATTTTTTTATATTTATTTGAGAAGGGGGATAAGCGTGTCAACCTCAGGGGCGGAGTGTCAGTCTTATCAGAGGATACCTAGCAAAGAGTCTGCTCTCTCTTCCCACCATGTGAGTCTTGGGGTCACAGTCGGACTGTCAGAAGCCCGCAGAGGACAGAGCTAGGCCCTTGCGGCCCATCGGACACCTCCCTCGGGGTGAAGGGGAACCCGAGCTGATGGCAGTCGCTCGCTGCCGGGCGGGAAGAGCCTGAGAGCAGAGAGCGGAGGCCTGCAGCGAGGCAGCCGCCCTTCTCAAACATGGCGGCGACAGGGGCCTCAGGGATGTGCCCTTTCCAAACATGGCGGGCATCCGCGCGGAGGAAGCGCCCCATTCCCAACCTGGCGGGAACCTCGGCCAGCTTCCGGCGCTCCGCCCGCGGCTGGCCATCCGGGAGGCGCTCGCCGCCCGCTTTCCGAGGGGAACCGGCTTCGCGGTGGGCACGCGGGCGGGAGACGCCGACCCGCGATTGGTCGCGTGGCGATGACGTCAGACGCCGCGGCGCCACACGCACGCACATGCGCGCGCGCGCGCTCAGAGCCGCGCGTTGGAGACTCGGCGGAGGAGCGTTAGGCCCGGGCGCTCACTCATGAGGAGCAGGAAGGTGAGGGGGCCCCCCGCAGGCGGGGTGCGCGCCGCCGAGCCGCACTCTCCCCGGGGAGCCGGCGGGGGGCGGGCGCCTCTCGGCCTCGAGCTCCGCCCCTTACTCCCCTCCGGCCCCGGGGCGGGTGGGGGAGAGCAGGAGACGTGCCCCTCCTCCCACCCCAGGCGCGGGGCTCCAGGCTCGCTCCCCGGGTGGGCTGCTGCCCGGGCTTCCTGTCTCCCCCGCGCTCTGCCGTCAGATGGGCGGGCTGCAGCTCACCGAACTCAGCCAAGCCCCCGTGTCGTACGTGACCTGGCCTGAGGACAGGCAGTGCGACGGATGAGCGGGTGACTGGGACCTAAACTAGCCCCAGCCGCAGAGGGCCTCCGGCCTGAAGTGTGTCTGCCGTCCACCGCTGGCCAGAGTCCAGGCTGACGTCCCTGCCTCTTGCTTGCGATGCGCGGGCGTTTGCGTGTGGCGTGGTTGACGGTTGCTGTCCCTCCTCTGCATAAGGAGACTTTATTATGGTTTAATAGTGCTACTTCTTTGCTCGCCTCGATTCCAGTGAGACACAGGAGGGCCTGACTCTTGTCTCTCTCCTCTTAGTGTTAGCCGTCTGTTGACAGTGCAGCCTTGCAATCCGTACTTTACCATCTGCATTCACGTCCTCAGTCCCGCAAGGGCCCCTCGGACCCAACCCCTTTGTTACTGCCTGCCCTGTTGCTGGCATGTATGTTGCCTCTTTTGCCTTCTGAGAGAAGTGTGTTTAGGATATTTTATATAGGGGCTTTCCTTAGGGGGCAGAGGTTGCCTCTGTGTGTGCCTCAGTTACTGATGGGGTCATTAGCTTCAACTAGGACTCCCAGTGGTTAAAGCAACAATCCCCAGTTTGCATCTGGAAATTCCTTTATACTTGCCTTCATCTTACAGGACAGGTTTTCAGGGTGTGGAGTGTTCTCACCGTGGTTCACACTGTTTCTGCAGAGTAGGGAGTTGTTTCTTAACGGTTCTTCCAGGGTTAGAAAGAACTGTCCCAGGAGGTGATCTGTCTTCCTCCCCCTCCTGTGTCACAGAGATGATCTGTCCACTTGGAGCTGAGTTTGTTAGTTAAGCTTAGACACATAGGTTACTGTTTTCAATAAGCAGGAGGTTTTCGGCCATTCTGTCTTCAAATACCTTTTATGCTTTCCTTCTTTCTGGTTGTCCTTAAATGTCTGCTGGTACGTAAGGTAAGGCCAGCGTAGGCTGCCTAGGGAGTTCTTGGTCAGCTGGGGTAATAAGAGGCAGTTGTGTGTGATGGCAACAGGTTGTAACCCCAGGACAGACATATTATGCAGTCAAGATCTATCAGAGTAATTTAATGAAACTGACTCAGAAAGAAAATAAAGGGGTGGGGCTGGGAATGCAACAGTTGGGTGCTTGCCTGGCATGCGTGAAACTGGCATGCATGATAGTTGTTTCCTTGCACTGTTTGGGTCCTAGCAGTTGAACACACGTCCTCAGTCCTTGTGGCAAGTTCCCTTTCCCACTGAGTCATCTGATGCTCAATCCTGTGTCTAGTTGGGTTGAACCAGCTTGGGGCGTAGCCATCTTTGCTTGCAGATGAGGGAGCGTGGATAGCTTTAGCACTGAGCTGAGGACCCACAACAGCTCTGGGCTGGCATTCCGACATAAGCATGCTCTCTGAGCTTCAGTCTTGTCTAGCTCACAGGTGGAGTGCGAGCCTCAGCGCGCCTTCGGGCCCGAAGTTACTCTTCAGCCAGCTTGGCCTCTGCCAGAGACGCCACCAGCTCCACGTCTGCCAAAACAACATGTCTGGTGAGCATCCTTACCAAGAACACCAAGGCTACAGTGTCACTCCGAGATGTGTTGTGTGAGATAGAAGCTGCTGCTGTGTACATCTTGGGAGACATTCTAGAGTCTGTGGCAGTGCCGTGACTGCGGTCACAGAAGGGAGAGCTTTGCAGTACAGCTGATTTCCTGGCCTTTGTGCACCAGGCATGTGTGTGTGTGGAAGTGTGCTAGTGACTCAGGCCCTGAGGCACAGCTTTGACCAACCGTGTGAGTCTTTTACCTGCTTCCCTCCTGGAGCTGAGAGAACAGTCAGGCACAAGGCAAGGACTGTCCTTGGTCTGCTGTACATCACTGCAGCTGCCCAGTCAAGGACTCTCGGCCCTAATTCAGTGCTTATAATTTTGGCAGCGGCACCTTTGTGCTCTTAAGCTTCCTTGCTTGTTCCTATGATGAGTTTAAAGTAAGCAACCTTGCACTTTAGGAAGGGGAGACCTGGGAACACAGCCTGCTGGAGTGGTGCTCTGGAGTCCTGGGCCTCCAATCTGCTCTGCCCCTCAGCAGCAGAACACACAGGACTAGTGGCCTCAGCACACCTGTGTCCCAGGTGGAGGAGTGAGAGTCTCTGGGACTGTGAGCCCTGTGCCTCTGCTGGATGGGTCTGCTTTTCTCTTACATTTTCTTTTTCCTTGGCAGGCTTCCTCATCACACAAGGCTACGGACAGACGGACTTCCAAAAAGTTCAAGCATGACAAAGGTCACCTTGTGAAGGCAGAATTACAAAGAGTTGACCCGAAGAGTGACATTTCTTCTTTGCCAAAAGTGGTCCCTGTGGCCCCTTGTGAAAATAGGCTTGCAGAGGACAGTGCGGAGGCTGCTGTTGCTGCACCGGAGAGCAGAGCGCCTCCTCAGGGCTGCTCCAAGCCTGTGAGTGAGGAGCCCTCAGCAAAGGTTGAAAATGGCCTGCCCATAGAACCCAGCAGTGTTGCTGCAGCTCAGGAGCCTGATGACAGTTCTGCCAGACAGGCAGAGCCTGTGCCCAGGACAGAGGAGGTGCGGGCATCTGTGCTTCAGATGGACAGCAGTGTCTTTCTAGATGATGACAGCAACCAGCCCATGCCTGTGAGTCGCTTCTTCGGGAATGTTGAGCTTATGCAGGTGAGTACTGCCTCCTGCCTCTCCTGCAGTTCCTGAGCACCAAACCACAGCTCCCCGCTCCCACTCTGTTGTGTGCCCGTGACACACAACACAAAAGGTGAACATAAATTAATCACGTTAATGCAAGGAACCCTGAGCTGTGTATGGTGCACCTGCCCCTCAGGCTCACAAGCTGGGAAGCAGCTCAGTTTGAAAGGCTGAGAAGGTAGGGTCCCTGGCTTCAGCCCCCTCAGTGTGTCTTGGACCGCCACAAGGTTAGGAATTCAGATCCGTGATTTCCTAAACATGTGACCATGTCTGTTGCTATCTCTTGTTTGGAGTATAGCAGCTTTGTTACCAAGGGACCGGTGCCTAGACAGACTTCCTGTGTCTGCAACAGGCCTGCTCTGCAGAGCCCTGAACAGACTGTAGCCAGATAATGGATGTGGGTGCCCTGGCAATCTCACTGAAGACTGAAGTCATGTTTTCTTCCTCTCTAAGGATCTGCCACCAGCCTCTTCGTCTTGTCCTTCCATGAGCAGACGAGAATTCAGAAAAATGCACTTCAGAGCCAAAGATGACGAGGACGACGCCGAGGGGTAGAGCAGCGGGGACTGTGCCGCCAGCTTAAGATTCTGTATGGCATCAAGAGGACACCCTCTTAACTGAGCGCAGATTTGACATGAATGTCACTGGTACAGACGCCCAGACACACTGCCGCTGTCACTGCTGTGCGCACATCTCCTTCCAGACACACCACGCTGGCACGGGGTCTGGGCAGTGGGAACAAGGAGAATTCCCTGAGCGCTTTGGTGTTTGGTAACAAGCTTACTTTCCATGCCAAACTGACCACTGGAGATGAGTTCTGTTTCTTCTGGAAGGACTCCTGTTTGTGAGTGAAGCTAACCATTTTACCCTGTAGTTTTTGCAAAGTATATATGAGAAGGAAATAAAATATATTTTGAAAATACTTTTAAGGAAATACTGTGTTCCCAAAACTGTCATTTCAAATATTTGAGAGTTGAGAGCTATAATGAACTGTGTCCTGGGCTGGGAGCACTCGTGAGGCCTGTTAGCAAGCAGGAAAGGCAAGGCCCTTGGTACAGGCCTTGACCAGGAGTTGGGGTGACAGCCCCTGCCCTGCTCTGCTGGATAGAGGCTACCCAGGAGGGCACTGGGAATTGAACTTGGCTCCTATGCAAGAGCAACAAGTGTTCCAGGCCTATAAGGAGTTTGCAGTTCTGCTCCTGTTAAGACAGACCTGCCCTCCCACCCCCCTCAGATAACACACACACACACACACACACACACCAAACTTCAGACAGCCCAGTAAGACAAGCAACTGGGTCCTCTTGAGAGCTCCACCTGGCTGCCTGGGGCACTGCCATGCCATCTCTGTGAAGATGGACTCACCTGTTCAATTTCTGCCTACTGCTATCTCACCCATAGCCCCATCTTCCTCAATATGTTCAAACTTGTTTGATATGTCTATTTTATAAACACTTTATTGTTTTTCTGATTACATGGCAAATATAAAAATCCAAACATTACAAAATGTATAAAATGCCCATTTCAAAAATAAACTCAGGCTGGGTATGGTAGCACACACCTTTAATCCCAGCACTTGGGAGCCAGAGGCTGGCTGGTCTTTATAGTGAGCTCTGGGCCAGCCAGAGCTACACAGTGAAACCTGGTCTCAGAGAAAAAGAAGAATGAAGTATTCTAAAACACATGATGTAGGAGATGCTACTTGGTGATCAGTCATCCCTGCTGAATCCCCCAGGATTACTGCTTTCACCGAGTGGCATTTCTGCAGACTGTCTCTGTGCACATGCTGACACGCACTTATAAAACCAAATACCAGGTGTGGTGGTGCATACCTGGAGTCCCAGCTCTAGAGATGAGGCAGGAGGATCATGAGTTCAAGGTCATTCCCTGAATGGGTAAAGTCACCTGTGCTTTTAACAGCTTCCTATTTCTCCACATGAAAGTTTAAACGGGCTCCAATCGTGCGTGCACACATGTATCAGTGTTGAGTCGTGAAATTCATGACAGCCAGTATTTAACCCATTAAAAACTTGTTTCACGTGGCTCAAGATGATGCCACAGTCAGCTGTTCCCACCAGGGGACATCTGGAAGGCTTCCCACCTTCTGCCATTTTAAACAGTCCAGCAGAGAAGGCCCTGCATGTTCGTTATGAAATGCAAACATTTACCCGAGGAGCACCATTTCTTCCAGAGGCATAGAGTCCGAGCTGCCATCTGAAGTAGGAATAGAGGCCATAAAAGCTCAGCACTGACCAGCACCCCCATACACATCACAGTGGCCAGGCTCAGCCCTGGGGCCATGAGCATGAAGACCCTGCCACAGGAACACAATGAGCACCATCGCTGTCCTCTGCACACTGGGCTGTCAGAGGCTGGGGAAGCATACTGGGAAGGCACACAAATCGGATCCGTTGGAAAGACTCCTGAAGACTTTCCTGGAACCTTCTGGAGTGACAAGGCATTACCAATGCCATTACCTCACAGAGGGCACGGCACGTGTCACTGGCGCCTCCGAGCCGGGTGCTTCCGAGCGGGGCGCTTCCGAGCAGGCTGCTTCCTCTTGGATCCCGTCTGAGGCAGATAGATTCTGCTGCAGTCACACTGCAGCTGGTGTGTGGTCTTCTTGTGGCAGGCGATGTGCACCAGCTTCAGGTTCTCGGCAGTGAAGAGCAGGCTGTAGAAGTACTCCCAGTTCACTTCCCTCCCATCCCGGATCGCCTCCGCCAGCGTGGGGACCACCGTGCGCTTCTTCTCTATTCTGCCAAGTCAGGGAGAGACAGCCATTCTGCTGTGAGTGCCACACACCACGGGGTGCCGTGCACTCTCCCGCTCCTTGTCTGTGGACGAAGTGTCTACCATGACAGACAGCCGTTGGCTTTTTCGTTAACATGACACAAGCTAGGGTCACCTCAACTGAGAGAATGACGTTATCAGATCCGTGTGCATGAAAGGCTGAAACATCTATTGATTAATGATTGATTGCTGTGGGAGGGTCAGCTCACTGTGGGTGGTGCCACCCCTGGGCTGATGGCCCTGGGCTGGATAAAAAGCAGGCTTGAGCAGGCCAGAGTACTCCATGGGCTCTGCATCAGTTCCTGCCTTGAGCTGCTGTCCTGACTCCCCTTCATGACTGACTGACTGCAAGCTTTACGGTGAAATAAACCCTCTCCTCCCCAGGTTGTTCTTGGTCAGTGTTTTATCACATCAATAGAAACCCTAAGACCTGAAGGTGTGAGGACCCTGAAGATTCACAAGCCCAGAAGGGCAGTGACCTCGAAATGGACAGGACTTGGGGATGAGTCATCGGAGGAGCCCAGCACCATGCTTCGTAGGCTGCTGACACTAGCCCATCCCTGACAAGGGCCACGGGGGAGCACAGTCAGTGCTCAGAGTCCAGCGCAAGCAATGCTGCTTGTCTTACTTTGCAAACTTGAGAAGTGGACACCGCTTACCATACTGAAAAGAATGCAGGAAAGCCAGGCCAAGGTCCCTCGAGTGCCACTCAATGGAGCCAAGCTTCATGTGTGAGCGCTTGTCAGCGCCTGCTGACTCCTGTTTGTTCCTGTACCCATTTTACGGAGCTGCCCACAGACGCCCAGGCCTGTGTCTCCCACAGACACGTGGGCCGAGTAAGTACGTATGGCCAATGTGACACAGAAATGGCAAGCAAAAACAGTGTTGTTACTTCAGAACCACTGAAACTGGGGCGTCCACAGGGAACAAACGCAGATTGACTCTGCAGGGACACTGACAGGCCACAAAAGAAAATTGGTCACCAAAGAGAAATTCGGGTCCAAACACAGTCCCAAGAATGGCCAAGAGGAAGGCAAACCTCCTCCCCCACATTTATCTCCTCAAAGCTCTGGAGCCTGGGACTCCGTTGCACAGTGGTCTGATCTGCTCAGGGCCCACTTCCTGGCTTGTCCTTGTACAACGATGAGAATGTCCCCATGTTTCTCCCACTCGCAAGAACATCTGCTCTCACTGGATTCCTCCACTCCCTAATGACCTCACTTTACCTTAACTGTCTCCCAAAGGACCCATCTCCAGATGCGGTCTCATTGGGTGACAGTTGCAGTATGTCTGGGGTAGGAGGGACCATAACTGAGTCCACAGCAGGAAGTTACCCCAAAACAGCAGCATGGAGCCAGAGAGTATAAGCAGAGCCAGCATTAAAGAGAGTGGGTGGCAAGAAGGTCCCAGAATCCCCACAGGAATCCAAGAGACTGCAGAGGAGAATCAGAACTCTCCAGAATGGAAGACAAGTCATGGCAGAGCCAAAAGTTAAGGTTTGTCCCTGGTGTTCCCTTGATTCCTGGGGAATCAAGCCAGTCTCCACTGGAGAGGTAGAACGCTGACTGACAGCAGCTCCAAGGCAGACGCCAGGAAACAGTGATCGGTCTCCCTCACGGAGTGCTCAGGGGACCTAGATGCCTGTGATCCCAGACTCAGTGTGAAGCAGACCCTCTCCAGCACTCAGTGTAGAAGTGGCAAGAGGGAGTTCATCCTCAGGCCCCCCTTACAGGAGCGCTAGGACCACTCATTAGCAACTCGGAGCAGGATCAGGGAGATACAGCCAGGTAGCAGTGAGCAGGAGTGGGAGATGTAAGTAGGTTCTGACCGTGACGACATCACCATTGTGCAAGCTCAAGGTCAGGTGGGACAACGCTGAGGAAAGAGCCCCAGAAGAGAGAGGTGACAGGCGGGCCCAGGACACACAGTGAGACCAGGCATACAGGAGGCACAGCAAATGGCAAAAGAGATGAATTCAAACCCACTTATTCATGCAACAAAATATTGAGCAGATGCTGAACAGCCACTATGTCTAGACACCGGGACAAGGGAGCAGTGCAGGAGAGTCTCAGTTAGACAAGACAAAAGGCAGGGTGCTGTCGCTAATGTGCTAACACGAGACGCCCTCTATGACGGTAACAGAAACCCAGCCAAGGGAAGGTGAGACAGAAAACAAGGAGGACGTGGAGAATCCTGGCCTCTTACAGGTAGCAGAGCCCAGAAAGGATGAGCAGACAGACAGACAGACAGACAGACAACAAGACCTGCCAAAGACACATCAGAACAGGCGGCCACCCTGATCTGGAAACACTAACCTCAGGAGCAGCTGGACACATGTAGCCTTCAGCAGATGTTTAAAACACAAGAGACGAATCTAGAGAACAAAGAGAAAGCCCAAAGGAGCAGAAACTCGGAGTGAAAATAAAAGCCATCACTCCTGCTGCCGACAACGGGGGCGAACAGATGCCTCTGCACCTGCAGGAGGAATCGCAGGATCTGTGCACACTGGGGCCTGGTCTTCTAGGGCTCACCACAGCCACCCCATTTGGCTGTGATAAAAGATACCGGAAATGCCTCACAAATACAGCAACAACATCTGTCACACAGGCAGTCGTGAGGGAATTAGTGCCCAGGACAAAAGTAAACAACAAGCAAAGCAAGCAGCCTGCAAGCTGTGACAGTGGACAGCCACAGAGCCCTTGGCCTCCCCAGGACCAGGAATCAAAACAAAAGCAGCCAAGTGGGTACCCACCTCAGGCAGGAGAATGCAGAAGCACAGTGACACCAAGTGGTGGTGAGGACAGGAAGGGACTTTACGGTCACATGAACTCAACAGCCAGAAAAGGCTGGAAATACTCTGAAGAGGACCACAGGCATTAATTCCCCCAAAGAGACTGGAGGTCAGAGCCAGGGCAGTCTCTCATCTGGAGTGTGTACCGGACCTCCCAGACACCCCCGTGATGCTGGGTGGACCTGGGTCTGATTGCATTTCTCACCAGCTCTGGATGCAGCCAGTCCACAGATCACACTGTCGGGCGTGGAACTGGGAAATAACGTTTCATCTCAGAGCGTCTATCCCAGCCTTGGATAGGCATGAGTTCTCAGAATGGCCGTAAATGCCCAGCAGGTGAATAAACAGAGTCTTCAAAAAGTGAAGGAGTGTGTGCTGTTCGCCTGAGCTGTGTGGGAAGACGGACCAGTGTAGAGCCAGAGAGCACAGTACCCGGGTAAGTGCACACACCTGGGGAAAGGTTGCGTTACATTAATGGGGCATTAACGAAGCATATTTCATTCAGGACAGTGCTGTCCCTGGCATCAGGCATCAGGGACGGAGCACTAGGCACAGAGGGTCTTCAGCTACAATCACTTTTTACATGCCTTGAATTACTCTGATACCAAGAGTCGGGTAGCTGTTTTGGGGTACTTGGAACGCTTTGCCTTCATAAAGCAAGGTCAAGGGTAGTTAGAGTCAAGAGGGTACCACAGCTCCAGAAACACAGTGCTGCCCCACATGAGACTGCAGCTTGCCCAGCTATGAGACTGTCCTGCTGGCCCTGCCCTCCCACACCACAGCCCTGGAGCTCACTGTGGTTCAAACACACAGCAACAGCCTCTTAGGGACCAAAACTGGGCCATGAAGAGCCAGGCCACCACATCCACCCAAAGACAGCGGCTAGAGGGGAGACGGACAGCTGGTAGGACGGTAGCATCTCTCCAGAACCCTTTCTGTCCCTGGGCCTGAACCACACAGGTGTAGCATGCCAGACCTCAGGTGCCTGAGCAGGGACTGGAGCCCACGATGCTGTGTTAGTTCTGGTTAGTGAACTTGAATTTCGGTGACATACACTTACATATGATCCAGGTTCCAGGTACTGAAGAGGATCCGGCTCTCCCTGTTGCCATAGGGGTTGATAGAATGCTTGGAAAGGCAGCTCTCCAGGTCAAAGGGGCCCTGCAGAGAGCAAGGACAGGCGTTGGAAAGACGCGAGTGAGGACCCTTACTGCTCTCCTCCCAGCCATCGAGCTTGCTAAGGAACTGGTCCCACGAGTCGTTTAGTTCACGAACAGACGTTTGAACAGCCAGTGTCAGCACCTATATCCCCAGCACTGGGAGGGAGGCAAAGGCAGGAGGATTTACACTCAGGCCAGGGAGGTGGCTCAGGAGGAAGAAGTGCCTGCCACACAAGCCTGAGAACCAGGTAAAAGCCAGGTGTGGTCTAGCCTCTGACCACACTCAAGCTGTGGCATGTGCACGTTCTCACACACAAACCTTATACACATATACACAAAAAAAATGAAATACTAAGTCAGCCTCAACTACATGGTAAGACTCCATCTTCACAAAATAAAACTGTTTGCTGTTCGGTAGAGATTGAAATTTCTCTCTTTGGGGCTGGAAAGACAGTGATGAAGAAGCTCTTCAGTGATGAAGAGCTCTGGCTGTTCTCCTGGGGGACCTGGGTGTGACTCCCAGTGCCACTTGTGGCTCATATAACCACCTGTAACTTCAGTTCCAGGGGATCTGACACCCTCTCTGGCCTCCACAAGGCACCAGGCACATATGTGCATGGACATACACACAGGCAAGACACCCAAACATAAACATCTTTTTAACTGTCCTTGGAATTCTACCTGCCCCCTGCCATACTATCACCCCTGATCTTCCTCTGAGCTTCCAAAAGATGAAAGCATTTCCGTCCCTGTCACTAGAGACACTGTCTTTTTCTAGGTGCCTCTACACTGGAACAGACCTGCTATTCCCAGCATGCTCCTGTGCTCCTACAATACCACACACTACCACCCCAACGATTACACACCACCATCCCCACCTTCCTTTCGCACTTTGACAGTGAAGGACACCAGCATCTCCTGTTGGGTCAGTGGCTGACCGTCCTCCCTGCCTCCTACCCCAGGAGGGCTATGTTCAACAGTACTCTTAGTGGCCCCAGAACAAAGGGCACAGGCTTACCTGGCAGGAGAACCAGCCTTCTGGGGTACAAAGGCGGCTGCTGGCCTCTGCACCTCGGTCAAAATAGCTGCCGTTGTATTGCACGGACTTGAGCTTCTGGCACATGGAGCTGACGACATGCAGGTACTCTTCTCGAGCCGCTGCATCTACCATAGAGGTGTAAGCGCTCACCTGCAAGACAGCCAGAGGCATCACCGAGCCTGAGGCATGCCCTGCCCATGCCCTCACACCTGCATTCAGTTACCAACCTACACCAAACATCGGTCGCCGGGAACCCGCTCCAGCCCAGGCTTACAATGAGAGCGTCTGGCCACTCACTGCACAACTATCACTGCCTAGGAAAACCATTCTGGCCCCACGAGATGGATCAAGACAACAATTCGATCCATCAGGCTGGGAGAATAAAAACAAGAACAGGCCAAGCAGAGTGGTACACATCTGCAATTCCAGCACTTGGGAGGCTGACGTAGAAGGATTGAAAGGGTTAGCCTGGTCTACATAGCAAGCTCCTGTCTGGGGAAAAAAAAATATTAAGATCATATAGGTCAGCAGAAGCAGGGTTCCCTCTGCTCAGGAGAGCGGCTCAGATATAAAGGCCACAGTCTCTGCAGCCTGCAGGTAGGTATCAGATCAAGACATAGACAATGTTAGGTCACGGTGGGGCAGGCACCAAGGCTACAGAACACAGGGCACGAGAACATTAGCAGCCGTGTCACAGGGATAGCACATGGCACCTCTAGTGTCCCCCTGCAGCACTTTCTACCTGCCAGTGAATGAGGAGCCTTACATGAAAACAGACAGCGAAGGCCAAGCTGACCCCACTCTAGGAGGCAGAGGAGGAAAAGTAGAAGGTTTCAAAACAAACAGAGCCCACCCCTGCTGTTCCAGCTGCCTAGCTGGCCATTCGGGCCTCTGCTGGCCCCACACCTGCCACTTCAGCTGCCTGGCTGGCCACTCGGGCCTCTGTTGGCCCGTGCCAAGCTTTAGTTACAGTCCAGCAAACTCAAGCTCTGTGTATTCTCTCGGCCCTCCTGTCTGCCTGGGTTTGGCTCCCACCACCTAGAAGCAGGACAGTCAGGCATGGGACACCCTGTCTGGCACAGTACATGCAGATCTATCTCCAGCATGGAGGACAGCTAACAGATATGAAAGCTCAGGGCAGTGCCACAGCATGTGCCCAGTGCAGACACAGCCTGGGAACCTAGCAGGCCCAGTGCAGACACAGCCTGAGAGCCCAGCAGGCCCAGTGCTGACACATCCTGAGAGCCCAGCAGGCCCAGTGCAGACACAGCCTGAGAGCCCAGC